TGTTTTAACATGTCTTTTTTTTTCTAAGTAAATTCACTTTATATATGTATTCTAAACCTTTATATRTATAGTATAATGTTCTAATTAATTATCAAGAAGGTCTCCAAATTTTACCTTCTAGGCGGATGCGGAGACGGGGAGGGAGGGGAGGAGCTTCAAACCCCGTATCCGCAAATTTTACGAAAACCGATACGTGTGGACGGTGAAAACGATTTAAATACGCTGCGTGTGGACGCGAACATTTTCGTATCCGCAAAAAATAATTTGCGGATACAAAATTTGCGGATACGTGTGGACGGGGCCTAAGCTACGTCCAATTGTTTGCAAGTCTTCGGTGACAGCACCTTGGTTTGAATAAAAATACTGGTGTTCTTCCCTTTTTGGCTGTGTAAATACTTCATTTCCCCCTTCTAGAACATGAATGCTTCCTTCAAAAAAAGCTCACTCGACTTCTTTTAAAGCAGCAGAAGCTAAAACGTTTTTGTTTATTTTAAAAGTTGTCATGCTTATTGATTGAACTGCAAATATTATTCTTTGCACTCAAGTGTGTTTTCATAATCCCATAATTTCCAATTAATAGCCAATGCAAAGTTTATTTTATAAATTGGTAAGATTCTTGTATTTTCTTGTTTAGCTGTCAACTTCGGTGCACGTGCGCGTCAAGCTGTAGGGAAATTTGTTTAATCTGAAAATGAAGATGATATTAAATTCAAAAATCATGGTCAGTAAACTGCGAAATATTGTGAAGATCATACGTAATAAACTTTTGAAGACATTATTTTTTTGACATGAAATTTTTACAARGAAATGTAAGTTAACAGGCAAAATGTGTCCACGATCATACTAGTAAAACTATATGTAAAGTTCAACAACGGATACCTTCATTCTAGCTCTGAATTATGGACATTATTCACAAAAGCAACAATTTCACTTATGTTTATATAAAAAAATTTGACTGCAAACTTTTTTTCTGATAAAAAAATTTCCGGTAGGATGACGTGACGCCTGGGCGACTCTGGTCTGGGAACAATCCTTTTGCAGGATTCTATTTTCAAGGTCAAAACAAAACAATGAGGCCCCTACATTTTCGAATTCGGCTGTCCACATTAACGATAGACCTCCGTCTTCACTCAACCTTTTCTTAGTTTGTTAGTGTTTACGCAAGGCCAAAACGCATAGAAAAGAATTCGCTTTCAAAAAGTGGACATTATAGTGTGGGTATCCTCATAAGAATTGGGGGCTTCCCCATCCCTGGTGTTTTAGAGTCAATGCTAGACTGTACTGTATGAATTTCTGCTGGTGGTTGTCGTGGCGCGGCAAAAAATCTTGTCTAATATAATGCCTATTGAAAAATATTCTAAGATCAACCCGTTTTCTTCCCTACCATAGTACAGTATAGAGGCTTTATACAAACACGTGATGGCAGCCATGACAGGAAGAGGCACAGCCGAGTCTTTCTCTGGGGAACTGAATCATGTTCTAGTAGGAGTCAAATGACTGTTGCAGGGGCGGATCCAGGGGGTGTCCTTAGATCACAGGCAGCCCAAACAAGGTTCCTGTGTATGGTTTATATGAGAATGCATGGGAGTTATGATAAAGTTATGAAAATAAAATGTTTCACTCAACAATTTGCATCAAAACCTGCTGCAGTTGTTGCTTTTACTTTGTTCAGTCTTCTGGCGATGTTTCAGCGCGATTTGAGGCCGTTTAGTGGKTTTTTTTCAAAATTTGCTCTTCTCTACCTAATAAATTATTTAGGTAGAGAAGAGCGAATTTTCAAAAAACCCACTAAACGGCCTCAAATCGCGCTGAAACTTCGCTGCCGGACACCACCGAACCCGCCTGTTTTTTATTTTATTTTGGTGCATCTAAGTCTTATCTTTATTTATGAATTGTTTCTCAAATCTTTAGTCGAACTCAAAATTAAACCGGCTGCATAACATTAAATCCCCAAACGAATCTAAGAAAAAAGTAAATAAGTCAGATCTAGATTATTGGTAACATCGCTATATGTCTTTTTTCCAATTCAGACCCACCCCTTCCATATTTCTGTATCCGACCCTGAATAGAATGTTGGCAYGATGGCGTCATTTGATTCCCACTACCATAATGCTTGGCGAATTAATTTTCTTTCTTATTCAAATTGGTATTCCTTCGTGACAATACCCTCCTGTTGTGGCTGCCATCACGTGATGGTGCAAGGCCTCTATAGGAAGGTCAAAAATTCACTTTAAAAAAAAAAAAAATCATAAAATGTATTGGTACTCGTTATTAAATATCTTTTTATTAGTAATATTATTAACTACTTGTTCAATCAGACAATGAGTCAAGTCAATTTTCTAGAAGTTTTCCAGGAACTCATAGAGATATTCAAGTCTGGCTTCCAGAGTAGATTTTTGTGTTTTTAAACTATTTTTATGATCAGAGTAAAAATATTAGGAAAACAAAACATCAACAGGAGCAGGAAAAAAACCTGACCAAACAAAGAAAAGAACAAACAAACAGACAGACAAACAGCCAACCAAACAAAGAAAAGAACAAACAAACAGACAGACAGACAGCCAACCAACCAAAAGAACAAACAAACATTCCAAAATTGCAGTCAGGATTGCGCGTGCAAGYATTTTCAGTTACATTGATGAAGGTCTTTATTTAGACCAAAACGTCTATTCAAAGGGGCACTTGGAAGTAAAACCCCCAATTTTTGAAATTCCGAATAATTGAAGTATTTCAGGGTAATATGACTTAATTATAATTATGAAAATCAGATTAGTGACAATTTTCGCCTGGGAGCCACTCGCTATTGAGATATTTTGGGTTAAAAGCGAAAAGAACAATAGCGTTGAGTAAATGACGTCATTTACTCACAATTTAGATTCTGAATAAAATTGATAATTTTTTCCCGCCACTTTTGACTGTGAAGGAAACCTGTTGCTTGGTTACTATCTGGGCCATATAGATAAGTTTAATCAAGTTTCAAGTCATTTCTAATTTTCATTGATTTTCATCCAAATGCCCCTTTAAAAATTGTAAATTTCACAAGTCAGAGATAGCTTTAAATAAAATGAAACAGACAGACAGACAAAGAAA